CCTTCTGCATGGGCACTTAGGTGATAGCAAGGGACAATGGCAAAAAAAAAAAAAGGTGGCTCTTGAACTGCACATGCAGAAGTCACGATCGGAACTTTTTGTGCTAATGACAAGACAGCGCGTAGAGAAGACTAGGTTACAGTGCCGCCCAGCCAAACAGACTAAAACAAGTAGTTTAGAATTGTCTGTGATTAGAAATGTAAGTGTAATTCAATCACATTCCAGTGCTTGTATTGAATATTTAGCTAGTGCTAACAATGTCTACTATAATAAGTTAACAGATGTATGAATGAAACAATGTCTACTATAATTGGTAAACAGATGTATGAATGAAACAATGTCTACTATAATTGGTAAACAGATGTATGAATGAACAAATTACTACTATAATTGGTAAACAGATGTATGAATGAACAAATTTCTACTATAATTGGTAAACAGATGTATGAATGAACACATTTCTACTATAATTGGTAAACAGAAGTATGAATGAACAAATTTCTACTATAATTGGTAAACAGATGTATGAATGAACAAATTTCTACTATAATTGGTAAACAGATGTATGAATGAAACAATGTCTACTATAATTGGTAAACAGATGTATGAATGAAACAATGTCTACTATAATTGGTAAACAGATGAATGAATGGAATGAAACAATGTCTACTATAATTGGTAAACAGAAGTATGAATGAACAAATTTCTACTATAATTGGTAAACAGATGTATGAATGAAACAATGTCTACTATAATTGGTAAACAGATGTATGAATGAAACAATGTCTACTATAATTGGTAAACAGATGTATGAATGAAACAATGTCTACTATAATTGGTAAACAGATGTATGAATGAAACAATGTCTACTATAATTGGTAAACAGATGTATGAATGAACAAATTACTACTATAATTGGTAAACAGATGTATGAATGAACAAATTTCTACTATAATTGGTAAACAGATGTATGAATGAACACATTTCTACTATAATTGGTAAACAGAAGTATGAATGAACAAATTTCTACTATAATTGGTAAACAGATGTATGAATGAACAAATTTTTACTATAATTGGTAAACAGATGTATGAATGAAACAATGTCTACTATAATTGGTAAACAGATGTATGAATGAAACAATGTCTGCTATAATTGGTAAACAGATGAATGAATGGAATGAAACAATGTCTACTATAATTGGTAAACAGATGTATGAATGAAACAATGTCTACTATAATTGGTAAACAGATGTATGAATGAAAAAATTTCTACTATAATTGGTAAACAGATGTATGAATGAAACAATGTCTACTATAATTGGTAAACAGATGTATGAATGAAACAATGTCTACTATAATTGGTAAACAGATGAATGAATGGAATGAAACAATGTCTACTATAATTGGTAAACAGATGTATGAATGAAACAATGTCTACTATAATTGGTAAACAGATGTATGAATGAAACAATGTCTACTATAATTGGTAAACAGATGTATGAATGAAACAATGTCTACTATAATTGGTTAACACATGTATGAATGAAACAATGTCTACTATAATTAGTTAACACATGTATGAATGAAACAATGTCTACTATAATTGGTAAACAGATGTATGAATGAAACAATGTCTACTATAATTGGTAAACAGATGTATGAATGAACAAATTACTACTATAATTGGTAAACAGATGTACGAATGAACACATTTCTACTATAATTGGTAAACAGATGTATGAATGAACACATTTCTACTATAATTGGTAAACAGAAGTATGAATGAACAAATTTCTACTATAATTGGTAAACAGATGTATGAATGAACAAATTTCTACTATAATTGGTAAACAGATGTATGAATGAAACAATGTCTACTATAATTGGTAAACAGATGTATGAATGAAACAATGTCTGCTATAATTGGTAAACAGATGAATGAATGGAATGAAACAATGTCTACTATAATTGGTAAACAGATGTATGAATGAAACAATGTCTACTATAATTGGTAAACAGATGTATGATGAAAAAAATTTCTACTATAATTGGTAAACAGATGTATGAATGAAACAATGTCTACTATAATTGGTAAACAGATGTATGAATGAAACAATGTCTACTATAATTGGTAAACAGATGAATGAATGGAATGAAACAATGTCTACTATAATTGGTAAACAGATGTATGAATGAAACAATGTCTACTATAATTGGTAAACAGATGTATGAATGAAACAATGTCTACTATAATTGGTAAACAGATGTATGAATGAAACAATGTCTACTATAATTGGTTAACACATGTATGAATGAAACAATGTCTACTATAATTAGTTAACACATGTATGAATGAAACAATGTCTACTATAATTGGTAAACAGATGTATGAATGAAACAATGTCTACTATAATTGGTTAACACATGTATGAATGAAACAATGTCTACTATAATTGGTAAACAGATGAATGAATGGAATGAAACAATGTCTACTATAATTGGTTAACACATGTATGAATGAAACAATGTCTACTATAATTGGTAAACAGATGTATGAATGAAACAATGTCTACTATAATTGGTAAACAGATGTATGAATGAAAAAATTTCTACTATAATTGGTAAACAGATGTATGAATGAAACAATGTCTACTATAATTGGTAAACAGATGTATGAATGAAACAATGTCTACTATAATTGGTAAACAGATGAATGAATGGAATGAAACAATGTCTACTATAATTGGTAAACAGATGTATGAATGAAACAATGTCTACTATAATTGGTAAACAGATGTATGAATGAAACAATGTCTACTATAATTGGTAAACAGATGTATGAATGAAACAATGTCTACTATAATTGGTTAACACATGTATGAATGAAACAATGTCTACTATAATTGGTAAACAGATGTATGAATGAAACAATGTCTACTATAATTGGTTAACAGATGTATGAATGAAACAATGTCTACTATAATTGGTAAACAGATGTATGAATGAAACAATGTCTACTATAATTGGTAAACAGATGTATGAATGAAACAATGTCTACTATAATTGGTTAACACATGTATGAATGAAACAATGTCTACTATAATTAGTTTACACATGTACTTTATCTTGTACCCACTTGAGGCTGGGTCTACCTTGGAGCCAAAGTCATTTTTAAAAAAAAAGAGAGAGAGATTGGAGGGTGAAAATCCAGCATCCAACAGTCATGGTGCTAAATAGTTAGCGACCATTAGTTGTTTGTGTACCCAGACCGGCACCATGTGTACATTGGTGGTTCCACACACACGGCTTACCCTCCAAACCTGTTTCTGTCCTACAACGGATGGTGTTTGGTTGCCTACATGTCAGATGGTGTTTGGTTGCCTACATGTCAGATGGTATTTGCTTGCCTACATGTCAGATGGTGTTTGCTTGCCTACATGTCAGATGGTGTTTGCTTGCCTACATGTCAGATGGTATTTGCTTGCCTACATGTCAGATGGTATTTTCTTGCCTACATGTCAGATGGTATTTGGTTGCCTACATGTCAGATGGTGTTTGGTTGCCTACATGTCAGATGGTGTTTGGTTGCCTACATGTCAGATGGTATTTGGTTGCCTACATGTCAGATGGTGTTTGGTTGCCTACATGTCAGATGGTGTTTGGTTGCCTACATGTCAGATGGTATTTGGTTGCCTACATGTCAGATGGTATTTGGTTGCCTACATGTTAGATGGTGTTTGGTTGCCTACATGTCAGATGGTATTTGGTTGCCTACATGTCAGATGGTGTTTGGTTGCCTACATGTCAGATGGTGTTTGGTTGCCTACATGTCAGATGGTGTTTGGTTGCCTACATGTCAATGTGTGGGTTGTGAGGGATCTGTGGTAGTTAGCAATTAATAATCACACATTTTTGGGGACCACTTGACAAGGAACAAGCTAAAATAATGTGTGTCTGCAAGAGAAAGAGCTCAAATAACTGTGGATCAGAAGCAGCTGCAGTAACCTGTGTCTCAGACAGCATGGGTTGAAGCAGCTGCAGTAACCTGTGTCTCAGACAGCATGGGTTGAAGCAGCTGCAGTAACCTGTGTCTCAGACAGCATGGGTCGAAGCAGCTGCAGTAACCTGTGTCTCAGCATGGGTTGAAGCAGCTGCAGTAACCTGTGTCTCAGACAGCATGGGTTGAAGCAGCTGCAGTAACCTGTGTCTCAGACAGCATGGGTCGAAGCAGCTGCAGTAACCTGTGTCTCAGCATGGGTTGAAGCAGCTGCAGTAACCTGTGTCTCAGACAGCAAGGGTTGAAGCAGCTGCAGTAACCTGTGTCTCAGACAGCATGGGTCGAAGCAGCTGCAGTAACCTGTGTCTCAGACAGCATGGGTCGAAGCAGCTGCAGTAACCTGTGTCTCAGACAGCATGGGTCGAAGCAGCTGCAGTAACCTGTGTCTCAGCATGGGTCGAAGCAGCTGCAGTAACCTGTGTCTCAGACAGCATGGGTCGAAGCAGCTGCAGTAACCTGTGTCTCAGACAGCATGGGTTGAAGCAGCTGCAGTAACCTGTGTCTCAGACAGCATGGGTTGAAGCAGCTGCAGTAACCTGTGTCTCAGACAGCAAGGGTTGAAGCAGCTGCAGTAACCTGTGTCTCAGACAGCATGGGTTGAAGCAGCACCTGTGATATGAGAGGTTAATGTAACGAGAAGTGGGGACAACTAGAGAAACTTGGTGAAAAATTAACAGCATATCCTTTGTCTGCCAACAGATCTTTTTTTTACAGCCAGTCCTGCAACCATCGAAGACTTCACAGAGCTGAAGATCAACAACAAGGTCTATCTGCTCTCTAACGGAACCTCCAACATGGCTGATGCAAAGAAGCACTGCTCAAGTATCTTCGCAGATCTGGCACTGTTTGACACCAACAAGGAATACTTTGATGTTACATCAAAGCTACGTATATTTTTTCATGACAATGATGTCAGTATTGACGGCATTTGGGTTGATCTCATGGTCAAGTCAGATAATTTCAGAATCACTGTCCGCTGGAGAAATGAAACATTTAGTTCAGGGGTGTGGGCATTTGGAGATCCAAATGACAGCTGTGTGCCCACAAGCAGAGGAGTATGTTGTGCTAGGATAGACTGGGAAAACGGAATGTTTCAAGGCCTCAAGGACACATCCTGTAATAGCTATACCAACAGGTATTTGTGCATCCCAAAGAACGAATGTAGTGATGGAACACACAACTGTGCACAGATCTGTCTGGAGAAGAACAATGGCTTTTCGTGCAACTGCAATACTGGGTATATTTTAGAAAAAGATAATAAAACTTGTCAAGATATTAATGAATGTGAAGCAGACACGCCATGCGAGCAGATATGTAGTAATATGGTTGGTAGTTACGTATGTTCGTGTCCATCAGGGTATGAGCTAAAGGCCGATAGACAGTCCTGCAATGATGTCAACGAGTGCCAGGCCAATAATGGTGGATGCCAACAAGTTTGTATGAATACATTAGGGAGCCATCACTGCTCATGTCATGCTGGATACACACTAGATGCTGCTGATGGCTGCGTGGATGTCAACGAATGTGACGGCAGGAATGACTGCCAGCAGAACTGCACAAACACCCAGGGAAGCTACACGTGTAGCTGTGTCCAAGGATATACTCTGGCCATGGACTTGAAATTGTGTTATGATATTGACGAATGCGACAATAGCACTCATCTTTGCAGTCAAATCTGCAAGAACACCCCAGGAAGCTACAAATGTTCTTGTCACCTGGGTTATTTGTTGGATGCCGACGACACTTCCTGCTCGGATCAGGACGAATGTCAAGGGCCACATTTGTGTGGACAAATATGCAACAACACACACGGCAGTTACCAGTGCTCCTGCCTGAATGGTTACACACTGTCTGAGGACAACCAAACATGCCGTGACATTGACGAATGTGAACTCGGCAAACACAGGTGTCACCACATCTGCACTAATTCCGAGGGAAGCTACTGGTGTTCCTGCAATGCCAGTCATTTCCTGGATACAGATAACCTAACTTGTGTTCAGTCAGATGACTGCAGCAGCAATAATGGATGTAGTTGCCAGCTTGGATTGACACTGGACAATGATGGACAGACTTGTGTAGACATTGATGAATGTCAAGTACCTGGAATTTGCCCACAAATCTGCACAAACACAGAAGGTTCCTTTCTGTGCAGCTGTCAGGCTGGGTACCATCTGCAGCCACACAATGCTACCTGTGTTGATGATGATGAATGCATCAGCCAACCTTGTCCAGGAGCCTGTGTCAACACTCAAGGAGGCTACCACTGCCAGGGATGTCTGCCAGGCTACACAGAAAATCTTAAATCTTGTGAGAACATCAACAAATGTGCCAACAGCACCACATACAACTGCTCAAAACTCTGTCAAAATACCACAGGAATGTACAACTGCAGCGATGTGGATAGCACAAATCCAACCTGCCTCAATAACCATGTATCAAATAACTGCCTATGTCCTGCTGGGTACTACCCCGGTCCAGACAACAGTTCCTTGTGCCAGGAACTCAGCAGATGCCAGGTCACACTGCCCATGTGTGGCCGCAGCTGTGACAACACAACTTGGGCTTCCTTCTGCAGTTGCCACACTGGATTCAAACTACAGAGAAACAGCAGCTCTTGCAACAAAAGGCCCACGTCTATCATGTGCCCCTGTACATGCACCGGAATAAAGAGATATTCATCTGACCCCATTTTCTCGGCCATCATTAAAGAACTTATCTTCAACAAACAAAAGACAAACTCCTATAGACAAAGTAAGATCTCCATCCCTGACCCCCGACCTTCGGCACAAGCCATTGGCTATTCCGGTTTGGTCATCATCTGCTTACTGTTTGCTTGTGTCCTGTGCCTGGATATCTTATCAGCGGCACTGTCCCTTGCTGGAAGACACAGGACAACCTCATCGCAAGCAACAAGAGAATCAGGTGATGGCAAAGATAAGAGCTGACTGTTTCAAGAGAAGTGTGAATGACGACTTCACCTGCATAATCATGTGTGCATGCAATCATGTATGCATGCGTGCGTGCATGTGTGTGCATGTGCGCTTGCATGTGTGATTGAGGGGTTAGGGAGTCTAATACTGAATGTCTTCACCCACAAAGTTGTCAACAATGGGAGGCAATGAAGAAATGCCTCTTGAATCATTTTGTTAGTCTTTAGTTTTATCAATGTTCTCTTTATATATATGTATAAAATGTATAGGAAAATATGGATACTGCAAGCGCCCGGGAAAAGGTCAGCATAAACTTCCTCAGAGGTAAAGCCATGTGGGAACACCGGCTCCTAGTTCCTAGTACTCAAGTAACAGAAGGCCCATGTTCCAGCCACTGAACCATCCCCCAGTTGTTATCACAGTTATTATAATTGTTCTCATATCAGATCACAACAACAGTGAGTAAACAGAGATACAACTGGTGTTTTTATTGTTGTAATTATCACACTTTTCAAACATCTCAGAAAGGAAACAATCTGCTACTGCTTTAAATAATGCCACACTATTAGATTAACACCGTAACATTTTACAATAACAACAGAAATGGTTGCAAAGATTTCTGTTTTGTCTTTACATTCCTTTCTCTTATCTAATATAACATCAGATGATTTCAGTAATTTCTTTGAAACCGATACAGAAGAGTTGAAAGCCACAATGCCAAATTGTCCTTGTGATTTATCCCTGCTATCAGCATTTTGCAACAACAAAAAAATGCTTTGAAGACATTCTTTTTGATATACCTCTCATGTCAGTTGCTGAAGTATTTATAAATTTCAAGAGACTCAATCAATCTATCAATCAATCAGGTGCCGTCTCCACAATGAAGGTTGGCTGCAATGGATCTCCAACAAGCCCTGTCTCTTGCCCTTGATGTACACTCACTCATACTGCTGTTCGTAAATCTCTTGATGTTATCCTCCCACTTGTAATGCTGTCTGCCTCTTGCTCGCCTACCTTGAACCTTTCCCTCTAGGATGATCTTTACAATACTGTTATGTCTTTTAATGTGACCAAAATATTTAACTTGTCTCTTTTTTATTTCACCTTGCAACTCTCTTTTCATTCCCAAATTCCTCAGTACCCCTGTATATGATAGCTTTTGTTTCCATGAAATACGACCTAATCTTCTGTATATCCACATCTCCAAAGAATTGATATGATTTTCCAGTTGTTTGTTCATTGTCCATGTCTCTGTGCCATACAGTAAGGTTGAGAATACATAACATTTGACAATTCTCATTTTTAATGTCAGTAACTTTTGCATGTTGTTGAAAATGTTTTTGGCCATCCCTATTCTTTTCTTGACTTCTGTTTCACTTCTGCCTTCACATGTTATTACTTGTCCAAGATATAAGAAATTTTTAACTTGTTCCAATTTCACCCCATTCACTGTGATATTCATTGTTAGCTGATTATTTTCTTTGCTAAATATCATGGTTTTTGTCTTTTTCAAATTAATATCTAATCCTAATTCTGTTTACTTGCTCCACTAGATCTTGCAACTCCTGCTCACTCTCTGCTGGCAACACTGTGTTGTCAGCATATCTCAGATTGTTTATTATTCTACCATTGATGTTCAGTACTGGTAATTCTACAATTTCTTTAAAAATGGTTTCTGTACATAAGTTGAAAAGGCTAGGCGACAGCACACATCCTTGTCTTACTCCTCTCTTGATCTCTATCTGGGGTGAGCCGATGTTGTCATATCTTACTGTTGCTTCTTGCTCCCAGTATAAGTTTCTAATAAGTCTGATATCCTTTCCATCTAGTCCTATGTTTTGAAGAGCTGCAATTAGTTGTTCACGCTGCACTCTGTCGAAAGCTTTTTGTAATCTATAAAATATGCATAAATATTTTCTGAACTTCTATATATTTTTCAGTCAGCATCTTTAGACAAATTATGGCCTCTCGAGTACCACTGTTTTTACGGAATCCAAATTGCTCTTCAGAAACTTCTTTCTCTATTTTATTTTGAATTCTTGCTTGTACTATCTTCAAGAATAACTTAGTTACGTGACTCATTAGGCTAATAGTTCTGTATTCTTCACAATCAACAGCTTTTGTATTTCTGTGATAGTATCAATTCCAAAAGTAGATAATGATTTTAACATTTCTGCAGTTATGTTGTCTGGACCTGCAGCTTTTCCCTGCTTCATCTGTTTAATGGCTTTCTCTACTTCAGACTTTAATATGTTTGGCCACTTTTGAATATTATGGATTGGCGGTTTGTCACCTCTGTTGTCCCAAAACAGGTCTTCTGCGTATTCAGTCCATCTTTTTATTATATCTTTCTTATCAACAATAATTGTTCCATCCTTCCCCCTAATACAACCATTACCTGTTAAATGTTTTTAATTGTTTATAAGTTTTATTATATTTGCATGTATTTCCTTGGTTCTGTGTTTTATTTCAAGATCCTCTATTTTTTTGCATTTTAACTGAATCCATGTTTCCTTAGCAGTTCTACACATATTTCATATTTCTTTGTCTATTACTGAATATTCTGGAGTGTTTTTTACTTTCTTCCTTTGTCTCAGAAACAGTAATACATGGGGATTAGACGGAATCAGCAATAGGATCCTTCACATTGCTGCCCCAGTTATCTGTGTGTGAGGTGCTGACGTTAATTTACAATGAATGTCTTGTCAAAGGTTACTTCACATCAGCATTTAAGATTGCCAAAATTTATCCACATCTAAAATCTGGTTCCTTAGACGGTAGCATCCCCGGTAACTATAGACCGATCTCCCTGTTATTATCACTATCAAAACATATTCATAATGTAAGTTTTTCAACACTCAGATTGCAATAAACTTATAGTATATGACCAATCAGGGAATTTGACCAAACTATTCTTGCTATACTGCCCTAACTAACACAATAGAAAACTGTGAACTTACAATATTCACATCAATAATCTTCCTTTATGTCTGTCGTTGTCCTGCGATTTTTTCGCAGACGACTGTACCATCTAGGCAAATGCCCAAAAATGTAATGTACTAGAGTTTTCATTATAACAAGAATTAAATAATTTAGTCAAATGGAGCAGTGCAAACCGTATGCAAATAAAGAATTAAACCAAATCTATGCTAATAATGATCAGAGAAAAACTGTTCAGTTTAAATTCACAGACAGCGCCTGAACTCTAAATTGTGAGGACTTATGTGGAAAGTGTAACTAAGCACAAAGCACTGGAGTTGGTAATGGATATAAATCTAACTTTCAACACTCATGTACAAGCACATGTGAAACCAAATGGTCAAAAGGTTTACCATCTCGAAAAAATTAGACATTTTTTTTGATAAGAACAAAAGAAAGATATTCTATATTTCTCACATCCAGACATTTATAGAATACTGCTCTACAATATGGGATGGCTGTTCCAGCTCTGTTTTCAAGCGGCTAAAATCACTGCAAAAGCACGCCATTCGCTTAATTAGTAACAATCCTGGGACAGTGAGTTTCGAAACATATGAAGGTCTTATGCTACTACCACTTTGTCAACGTCTACTTTTCAATAAGGTTAAATTTATTCACAAAATATTATCCTAAAAGGCTCCTATGTTACTTATGGCCGTTTTTTAATTATAATGGAAGGCATAGCAAACGCCTAAACATATTAGACATCCTTAAACCTAGAACAGACCTATACAAAACAAGTTTGGCGTACTCCGCAGCTCAATTGTGGAACTATCTGCCACAGCAAATCAAAAGTTCTAGTCCCCATACATTTAATCAGAAACTGTTTGAATATTATCTGAGCACAGATTATATACCACCAAAGATTTTTTTTAAATATGTTAGAAATAGCGCACATTTCCCCTAGATTTATTACAACTACTACGGTTTACTGTAGTGAGAAATGTGCACATTCCAGTGCTTGTATTGAATATTTTGATGCTATTAATGTTTAATATCACTTGATGTATGAATAAAATGATGTAAGAACAGAGGAAGACCTTAAAGTGCAGAATGTTAGACGAGTCTGCGTGTCCAATTCTTAACCCTTTAAAAATAAAGTTTTTTTGTCTGTTCATTCGTTTGTTCTCTACGAGTTGAACATCAAGGAGAACTGGCTCATAAACAGTATCCTGTCCTGAAAGTTAAAGTATTTTGGCCACATCAAGCGTCATGGCCGCTTGGAAAAGACGGTTATGGAAGGTGAATTTAATGGTAGGCAAGGCAGTGGTCGACCACTGCGAAGATGGATACAAGACATTGAAGATGCATTGGCATTGAAAGCACATGGGGCCGGAGAGGTGGCTAGGGAAAGGGATATTTTCAGGTGTGCCGTGAAGAAAGCAAAGTTTTGTAAAGGACTTGCTGATTGATGGTGGTTAAACTGGGGGGAGGAACTTAATGACAGGACACTTGTAGCTAGAATCTTGATCTATAGTACATCCTGAACATACATCATTAGAGACTGAGGACAGACTAAAGACACACTGCGGACAGACTGAAGACAGACCATGGACAGACTAAAGACAGACCGTGGACAGTTTGACACAACACAGAGCCCAGGTCAGCACAGACAGTCAATAGATAATAATATGACACAGATGTCCAATCGACCGTGAGTGTGTTACTTCAACGATTTATTGAGTTAGTGTTAGTAGACAAGCCTTATATTGAGGAGCCAGCAGCTTAAGTTTTGGGGGCCACGCATTTCTCTGGCAGGATTTATCAATTCAAAAACCATCTCAACATATGACTTCCAAGGATAAAGCTGACCTTGTCCAACTGATATTGCTTTTTTGTCCTGTTTGTTGCACAGAGTGTTGAAGATTGTCAAAGCAATACGTTCCCACGTTGTAAAGTGAAATTGAAAAAAAAAAAAAAATTACGTTGAATAACTCTAGGTGCATATGGAAGAGCAGAAATAAACACATAACAGCATATACTCAGGTGCACATGAATGAGCAGACATTAACACACAATGGCATCTACTCAGGTGCACACGAATGAGCAGACATTAACACACAACAACATATACTCTAGTGCACATGAATGAGCAGACATCAACACATAATATACTCAAGCACAAACAAGAATCCTTTCCAGTGAGATGCACAAATCTAGCAGTCCAATGATTTATGTACACTCTGACGAAGAATTCAAAATGGCAGGAAGCATCATAACCCAGGTCATTTATAGATGATGATGATTTAAAAAATGTAACCACTTTCAAAGTGTTTGCATACATGTGCGTGCGCAGGCATGCATGTGTGTGTGGGTGTGTGTGTTTGTGTGTGTACACACTTTACAAGTCAAGCCACCATGTGTTCCTCAAAGCAATTATCCCCCTTGAGACATAGCTATACAACACAGTGAGAATGGAAGGGACAGGGGAACTAACTACAGGTGTGGCCATTCCTAAACTAAACACAACTGACCTCAATGATCTGGTCGTTGACATGAACTCTGCCATCTGTGGCTGCAGCGCTGCCTTCTGTGATACTCTTGACAAAGATGCCAGAAATTTCGTCTAGAAATAGGAGGTAACAACATATCATTGTTGAATAGATGGTGCCAGTTGACAGTGTGACCATAATGGTGTGTGTGATACATGAATACAGGAACACAACAAGACAATACAGGGACAATAAAGGTGTGTGATACATGAATACAGGAACACAACAAGACAATACAGGAACAATAATGGTGTGTGTGATACATGAATACAGGAACACAACAAGACAAAACAGGGACAATAAAGGTGTGTGATACATGAATACAGGAACACAACAAGACAATACAGGGACAATAAAGGTGTGTGATACATGAATACAGGAACACAACAAGACAATACAGGGACAATAATGGTGTGTGTGATACATGAATACAGGAACACAAGACAATACAGGGACAATAATGGTGTGTGATACATGAATACAGGAACACAACAAGACAATACAGGGACAATAAAGGTGTGTGATACATGAATACAAAAACACAACAAGACAATACAGGGACAATAAAGGTGTGTGATACATGAATACAGGAACACAACAAGACAATACAGGGACAATAATGGTGTGTGATACATGAATACAGGAACACAACAAGACAATACAGGGACAATAAAGGTGTGTGATACATGAATAAAGGAACACAAGACAATACAGGGACAATAAAGGTGTGTGATACATGAATACAGGAACACAACAAGACAATACAGGGACAATAAAGGTGTGTGATACATGAATACAGGAACACAACAAGACAATACAGGGACAATAAAGGTGTGTGTGATACATGAATACAGGAACACAAGACAATACAGGGACAATAAAGGTGTGTGATACATGAATACAGGAACACAACAGGACAATACAGGGACAATAATGGTGTGTGTGATACATGAATACAGGAACACAACAAGACAATACAGGGACAATAATGGTGTGTGATACATGAATACAGGAACACAACAAGACAATACCGGGACAATAATGGTGTGTGATACATGAATACAGGAACACAACAAGACAATACAGGGACAATAAAGGTGTGTGATACATGAATACAGGAACACAAGACAATACAGGGACAATTAAGGTGTGTGATACATGAATACAGGAACACAACAAGACAATACAGGGACAATAAAGGTGTGTGATACATGAATACAGAAACACAACAAGACAATACAGGGACAATAAAGGTGTGTGATACATGAATACAGGAACACAACAAGACAATACAGGGACAATAATGGTGTGTGATACATGAATACAGGAACACAACAAGACAATACAGGGACAATAATGGTGTGTGATACATGAATACAGGAACACAACAAGACAATACAGGGACAATATTGGTGTGTGTGATACATGAATACAGGAACACAACAAGACAATACAGGAACACAACAAGACAATACAGGGGCAATAATGGTGTGTGATACATGAATACAGGAACACAACAAGACAATACAGGGACAATAATGGTGTGTGATACATGAATACAGGAACACAACAAGACAATACAGGAACACAACAAGACAATACAGGGGCAATAATGGTGTGTGATACATGAATACAGGAACACAAGACAATACAGGGACAATAATGGTGTGTGATACATGAATACAGGAACACAACAAGACAATACAGGGACAATAATGGTGTGTGTGATACATGAATACAGGAACACAACAAGACAATACAGGGACAATAAAGGTGTGTGATACATGAATACAGGAACACAACAAGACAATACAGGGACAATATTGGTGTGTGATACATGAATACAGGAACACAACAAGACAATACAGGGACAATAAAGGTGTGTGATACATGAATACAGGAACACAACAAGACAATACAGGGGCAATAAAGGTGTGTGATACATGAATACAGGAACACAACAAGACAATACAGGGGCAATAATGGTGTGTGATACATGAATACAGGAACACAAGACAATACAGGGACAATAATGGTGTGTGATACATGAATACAGGAACACAAGACAATACAGGGACAATAATGGTGTGTGATACATGAATACAGGAACACAACAAGACAATACAGGGACAATAATGGTGTGTGATACATGAATACAGGAACACAACAAGACAATACAGGGACAATAAAGGTGTGTGATACATGAATACAGAAAAACACAAGACAATAAGACAATACAGGGACAATACATGAATACAGGAACACAACAAGACAATACAGGGACAATAATGGTGTGTGATACATGAATACAGGAACACAACAAGACAATACAGGGACAATAATGGTGTGTGATACATGAATACAGGAACACAACAAGACAATACAGGGACAATAATGGTGTGTGATACATGAATACAGGAACACAACAAGACAATACAGGGACAATAAAGGTGTGTGATACATGAATACAGGAACACAACAAGACAATACAGGGACAATAATGGTGTGTGTGATACATGAATACAGGAACACAACAAGACAATACAGGGACAATAAAGGTGTGTGATACATGAATACAGGAACACAACAAGACAATACAGGGACAATAATGGTGTGTGATACATGAATACAGGAACACAACAAGACAATACAGGGACAATAATGGTGTGTGTGATACATGAATACAGGAACACAACAAGACAATACAGGGACAATAAAGGTGTGTGATACATGAATACAGGAACACAACAAGACAATACAGGGACAATAAAGGTGTGTGATACATGAATACAGGAACACAACAAGACAATACAGGGACAATAAAGGTGTGTGATACATGAATACAGGAACACAACAAGACAATACAGGGGCAATAATGGTGTGTGATACATGAATACAGGAACACAACAAGACAATACAGGGACAATAAAGGTGTGTGATACATGAATACAGGAACACAACAAGACAATACAGGGACAATAATGGTGTGTGTGATACATGAATACAGGAACACAAGACAATACAGGGACAATAAAGGTGTGTGATACATGAATACAGGAACACAACAAGACAATACAGGGACAATAAAGGTGTGTGATACATGAATACAGGAACACAACAAGACAATACAGGCTATCTTGTTTCAGTAATAACATTGATTGCCTATCCAGGACAACAGCCTACAGCTGGGTGGTATTTTGTTACAACTAACAGTGAAAAGGATTAACTTTACTGCACCAGGGTTCACCCTATATGGCTCCATCTCTCTTCACAGACCATCTAGTCAAAAAAGGCACAAAGCATAAACTCTGCAGTTCCATCGACAACCCTCAGAAATCTCAACAAAAAATTTCACCAGTGAGCTGAACAACATGTCCATAAAACGAAACCAATGCCCATCCGAGCAGAAGGAATATGGTTCAACCACTTTGTTATGGAATCAAGCTAGATAATTCTGATAGTAACCAATAGAGTGATAATTCTGGTAGTAGTGACCATCAGAGTGATAATTCTGGTAGTAGTGACCAAGAGAGTAATAATTCTGGTAGTAGTGACCAAGAGAGTGATAATTCTGGTAGTAGTGACCAAGAGAGTAATAATTCTGGTAGTAGTGACCAAGAGAGTAATAATTCTGGTAGTAGTGACCAAGAGAGTGATAATTCTGGTAGTAGTGACCAACAGAGTAATAATTCTGGTAGTAGTGACCAACAGAGTGATAATTCTGGTAGTAGTGACCAACAGAGTAATAATTCTGGTAGTAGTGACCAACAGAGTAATAATTCTGGTAGTAGTGACCAACAGAGTAATAATTCTGGTAGTAGTGACCAACAGAGTGATAATTCTGGTAGTAGTTACCAACAGAGTGATAATTCTGGTAGTAGTGACCAACAGAGTGATAATAGACTGCTCTGATGGACTGACGTGGCTTATCTCCTCGCTGGGCTACCAAACTTGCAGCCTGTAGTCTCAGGAGAGAAAAATCAGCCAGTCAGTCAATCAGTCTGTCAGTCAATCAGTCTGTCTATCAGTCAGTCAGACTGTCTATACGTCAGTCTGTCCATCAGTCAGTCAGTCAATCTGTCTATCAGTCAGTAAGTATGTCCATCAGTCAGTCAGTCAGTATGTCCATTAGTCAGTCAGTCAGTCTGTCCATCAGTCAGTCAGTCTGTCCATCAGTCAGTCTGTCCATCAGTCAGTCTGTCCATTAGTCAGTCAGTCAGTCTGTCCATCAGTCAGTCTATCTATCAGTCAGTCAGTCTGTTCATCAGTCAGTTAGTCAGTTAGTCTGTCCATCAGTCAGTCTGTCCTTAGCCAGTCAGTCTGTCCATCAGTCAGTTTGTCCATCAACCAGTCTGTCCATTAGTCAGTCAGTCAGTCTGTCCATCAGTCAGTCTGTCCATCAGTCAGTCAGTCTGTCCATCAGTCAGTCAGTCTGTCCATCAGTCAATCAGTCCATCAGTCAGTCATTCAGTCTGTCCATCAGTCAATCAGTCTGTCCATCAGTCTGTCCATCAGTCAGTCTGTCAATCAGTCAGTCAGTCTGTGCATTAGTCAGTCTATCAGTCTGTCCATTATTCATTCAGTCTGTCTGTCCATCAGTCAGTCTATTAGTCATTCAGTCTGTCCGTCCATCAGTCAGTCTGATCAGTCAGTCAGTCCATCAGTCAGTCAGTCTGTCCATCAGTCAGTCACTTTCCATCAGTCAGTCAGTCTGTCCATCAGTCATTCAGTCAGTCAGTCTGTCCATTAGTCAGTCATTCAGACATTCAGTCTGTCTATCAGTCAGTCATTCAGTCTGTCCATCAGTAAGTCAGTTTGTCTATCAGTCAGTCAGTCAGTCCATCAGTCAGTCAGTCTGTCTATCAGTCAGTCAGTCTATCAGTCAGTCATTTACAGTCAGTCTGTCTATCAGTCAGTCATTTAGTCTGTCCATCAGTAAGTCAGTCTGTCCATCAGTCAGTCAGTCAGCCATTCAGTCAGTCAGTCCATCAGTCTGTCCATCAGTCAGTCAGTCTGTCCATCAGTCAGTCATTCAGTCAGTCCATCATTCAGTAAGTCTGTCCATCAGTCAGTCTGCCTATCAGTCAGTCTGCCTGTCCATCAGTCAGTAAGTCTGTCCATCAGTCAGTCAGTCAGTCTGTCCATCAGTCAGTCTGCCTGTCCACCAGTCAGTCAGTCTGTCCATCAGTCAGTCTGCCTGTCCATCAGTCAGTCTGCCTGTCCATCAGTCAGTCAGTCTGTCCATCAGTCAGTCTGCCTGTCCATCAGTCAGTCAGTCTGTCCATCAGTCAGTCTGCCTGTCCATCAGACAGTCAGTCTGTCCATCAGTCAGTCTGCCTGTCCATCAGTCAGTCAGTCTGTCCATCAGTCAGTCTGCCTGTCCATCAGACAGTTAGTTATGGCAGCACTTATTTTGCTCTGTCCACAATGTCCTCAAAACTCCTCTCAAACAGCACATCTCTGAAACCTCCAGCTGATTCCATTCTTCAATGCAGAACTAAACAATACATGCCTTCAATGCAGAACTAAACAATACATGCCTTCAATGCAGAACTAAACAATACATGCCTTCAATGCAGAACTAAACAATACATGCCTTCAATGCAGAACTAAACAATACATGCCTTCAATGCAGAACTAAACAATACATGCCTTCAATGCAGAACTAAACAACACATGCCTTCAATGCAGAACTAAACAACACATGCAATGTTTCAGACAGAAAATGTGGGTGTCCGTAATATTTCTGTTTTTGATCATGCTCATCTCTGTACTCACTATATTTAATTCTATGCACATGCTATGTATGCTCAATGACATCAACAAATATGTCCAACCCATGAATCTTGTCTACTCTCTGTGTGACATCTACTGACAGTGACAAAGCCATTTATCATTACTAACGTCATCAGGTGACCTGCCAGAAGGTATAGGTTTCCATGTCTCTCCACAATGATATAACTATGGAATTATGCATCCATTATTTTCAGAGTCATCCGTTTTGCCAGCTTTTCCAGCCACTAACTGTATTATCTCAGTTTGCCTGTTTGAACACGGATCTTACCAGGCGTCACAACGTTCTCTGACCCCTTTCTTTTTATCACATGTCCAAACAAAGTTCACTCTAGCCTGTAGGAACAAGAAAGTGATGACAGAACATAACCAGACATGGACACAAGCACAGCACTGACCAGAAGTATTGTCTCGCCCAACATAACCAGACATAGACACAAGCACAGCACTAACCAGGAGTATTGTCTCCCCCAACATAACCACACACAGACACAAGCACAACAACTAACCAGGAGTATTGTCTCCCCCAACATAACCACACATAGACACAAGCACAGCACTAACCAGGAGTATTGTCTCCCCCAACATATCCAGCGATGGTGATACCCAGACCGTGGGAATCTTTCATCAGGTCCACCTCAAACACATCAACATCAGGCACTTCCTGCATCACCTCCACAGGTTGCTGTAACAAAAAACAAAACTTGAGTCTCACTTGGTCTCAACAGTTCTGCTTTATCCCTATATACCACATATGATTTATGGAATTCACTTTAAAAAACCGGAAAAGCATGTGTTTAATTTGTGATTCAAATAACAGCCAAGGCACTGTTCATTCCACTTTTAATATATTTTTTTTTCTCACAGCAAAATTAACGTTTGAAAAACATATATTTTGTCTAGATCTTGTTCCAATTTTGCCAGGTAATTTTTTGCCTGTGTGGCTGCCAAAAAATGATTCCCACGTTGAAAAGTTCTCTGTTTAATAGAATGTTACAAGTAGACAAGGAACAGCCCTCTCAGTGGTAGTCTCAAGCTCTCATTTCATAAATAAAACTGTAAACAAACAAATCAATGACCAACTTCCATGAAATGAAATGACAGTTTATTGACTGGAACCCACGGGGCTGAAGAAAAAGAAGACTACAGCCATAATAATGATGAAACAAAGAGAGAGATATGGACCAACCGGATGAACTTGATGATGGCGGTCATGATGAAAGATCAAAGAGACTGACTGATATCTGAAACCATTGGATCATGATGATGATGATGATGACACAACCAACAGAGAGACAGGTGAACCTATAGAATGAACTTGATGATGTTGAAAGAACCTACAGACAGACATGTGAAACTACAGGATTAATGTTAAGATGATAAGACAACCTCAGACATACATGTGAACCTATAGGATTAATGTTAAGATGATAAGATAACCTACAGACATACATGTGAACCTACAGGATTAATGTTAAGATGATGAGAGAAGCTACACACAGACATGTGAACCAACAGGATTAATGTTAAGATGATGAGATAACCTACAGACATACATATGAACCAACATGATTAATGTTAAGATGATAAGATAACCTACAGACAGACATGTGAACCTACAGGATTAATGTGAAGATGATGACAGAACCTATAGACAGACATGTGAAATTACAGAATTAATGTGAAGATGATTACAGAACCTACAGAGAGACATGTGAACCTACATAATTAACGTAAAGATGATGATAGAACATACAGACAGACATGTGAACCTACAGGATGAACCTGGACGGAGCCCAGCAGCAACTGTTGTTGGTGTAGCTGGTACTGCTGGAGCTGATGCTGCAGGTGCAGGTTGTGGAGATGCTGCTCATGCTCCCCTGCTTCCATGGCCATGACTGCATTGAAGTGCTCCATGTGCTCCTCCAGCTGGTGGGTGGGGATGATGGGTGCCTGCGGGATCTGAGGACACAAGTGGGACACCTGACTCAACTACTGGCATTAGGTGGGGATGATAGGTGCATGCGGGATCTGAGGACACAAGTGGGACACCTGACAACTACTGGCATTAGTTAGGTGGGGATGATAAGTGGATCTGAGGACACAAGTGGGACACCTGACTCAACTACTGGCATTAGGTGGGGATGATAGGTGCATGCGGGATCTGAGGACACAAGTGGGACACCTGACAACTACTGGCATTAGTTAGGTGGGGATGATAAGTGGATCTGAGGACACAAGTGGGACACCTGACTCAACTACTGGCGTTAGTTAGGTGGGGATGATGGGTGCCTGCGGGATATGAGGACACAAGTGGGACACCTGACTCAACTACTGGCTTTAGTTAGGTGGGGATGATGGGTGCCTGCGGGATCTGAGGACACAAGTGGGACACCTGACTCAACTACTGGCAATAGTTAGGTGGGGATGATAAGTGTATCTGAGGACATAAGTGGGACACCTGACACAACTACTGGCATTAGTTAGGTGGGGATGATAAGTGGATCTGAGGATACAAGTGGGACACCTGAAAACTACTGGCATTAGTTAGGTGGGGATGATAAGTGGATATGAGGACAGAAGTAGGACACCTGACAACTACTGGTGTAAGTTAGGTGGGGATGATAAGTGGATCTGAGGTTACAAGTGGGACACCTGACAACTACTGGTATTAGTTAGGTATGGATAATAAGTGGATCTAAGGACACAAGTGGGACACCTGACAACTACTGGCATTAGGTGGGGATGATAAGTGAATCTGAGGATAAAAGTGGGACACCTGACTCAACTACTGGCGTTAGTTAGGTGGGGATGATAAGTGGATCTGAGGACACAAGTGGGACACCTGACTCAACTACTGGCATTAGTTAGGTGGGGATGATAAGTGGATCTGAGGACACAAGAGGGACACCTGACAACTACTGGCGTTAGTAGGTGGGGATGATAAGTGAATCTGAGGATACAAGTGGGACACCTGACAACTACTGGCGTTAGTTAGGTGGGGATGATAAGTGGATCTAAGGACACAAGTGGGACACCTGACAACTACTGGCATTAGGTGGGGATGATAAGTGAATCTGAGGATACAAGTGGGACACCTGACTCAACTACTGGCGTTAATTAGGTGGGGATGATAAGTGGATCTGAGGACACAAGTGGGACACCTGACTCAACTACTGGCATTAGTTAGGTGGGGATGATAAGTGGATCTGAGGACACAAGAGGGACACCTGACAACTACTGGCGTTAGTAGGTGGGGATGATAAGTGAATCTGAGGACACAAGTGGGACACCTGACAACTACTGGCGTTAGTTAGGTGGGGATGATAAGTGAATCTGAGGACACAAGTGGGACACTGACAACTGACAATCTACTGGGACACCTGACTCAACTACTGGCGTTAGGTGGGGATGATAAGTGAATCTGAGGACACAAGTGGGACACCTGACAACTACTGGCGTTAGTTAGGTGGGGATGATAAGTGGATCTGAGGACACAAGTGGGACACCTGACAACTACTGGCGTGGGGATGATAAGTGAATTAGGTGGGGATGATAGTTAGTGGGGATGATAAGTGGATCTGAGGACACAAGTGGGACACCTGACTCACTACATTAGGTGGGGGTGAATCTGAGGACACAAGTGGTTACCTGACTCAACTACTGGCGTTAGTTAGGTGGGGATGATAAGTGGATCTGAGGACACAAGTGGGACACCTGACTCAACTACTGGCATTAGTTAGGTGGGGATGATAAGTGGATCTGAGGACACAAGTGGGACACCTGACAACTACTGGCGTTAGTTAGGTGGGGATGATAAGTGGATCTGAGGACACAAGTGGGATGATAAGTGAATCTGAGGACATAAGTGGGACACCTGACAACTACTGGCGTTAGTTAGGTGGGGATGATAAGTGAATCTGAGGATACAAGTGGGACACCTGACTCAACTACTGGCGTTAGTTAGGTGGGGATGATAAGTGGATCTGAGGACACAAGTGGGACACCTGACTCAACTACTGGCATTAGTTAGGTGGGGGATGATCTGAGGAAGTGAGGGATCTGAGGATACAAGTGGGACACCTGACAAGTGGGACAACTGACAACTACTGGCGTTAGTTAGGTTATAAGTGGATCTGAGGATGACACCTAAGTGGATCTGAGGATGATAAGTGAATCTGAGGATACAAGGACACCTGACTCAACTACTGGCGTTAATTAGGTGGGGATGATAAGTGGATCTGAGGACACAAGTGGGACACCTGACTCAACTACTGGCATTAGTTAGGTGGGGATGATAAGTGGATCTGAGGACACAAGAGGGACACCTGACAACTACTGGCGTTAGTAGGTGGGGATGATAAGTGAATCTGAGGATACAAGTGGGACACCTGACAACTACTGGCGTTAGTTAGGTGAGGATGATAAGTGAATCTGAGGATACAAGTGGGACACCTGACTCAACTACTTGCGTTAGTTAGGTAGGGATGATAAGTGGATCTGAGGACACAAGTGGGACACCTGACTCAACTATTGGCATTAGGTGGGGATGATAAGTGGATCTGAGGACACAAGTGGGACACCTGACTCAACTACTGGCATTAGTTAGGTGGGGATGATAGTGGATCTGAGGACACAAGTGGGACACCTGACAACTACTGGTGTTAGGTATGGATGATAAGTGGGTCTGAGGATACAAGTGGGACACCTGACTCAACTATTGGCATTAGTTATAATTAATGACACTGTGTGCCCCAGAGGAACAATAACTTTGTCTTACAAATTGAGTTCCAACAGATCTATATTCTTATGTGCTGCACTCTCCATATCTATGCTCTTTGGTGCTGCCAACATACCAGAGGTATGTTCTTGAGATCTGTATACCTTATATCTTCGGATCTATGTTCCTCAGGTCCGTATACCTCATATCTTCAGTTCTGCAGATCTATGTTTTATGGAACGATTTAAAGATCAAGCAGCAAACTAAGAGTGAACACAACTGGAGAATACTCTTAGTCTGACTTCTTCATTAACCTCTCAATCAGTAGTTCTCAACCTGTGGGTCGTGACACTTGTGGGTTTCAAACAACCCTTTTACCGAGGTCACTTAACAGAGGTCACTTAACAGAGGTCACTTAAGACCATCAGAAAACACATATTCACTCAAGTCATGAAGCAGCAACAACATGAGACTGTATTTAAGGATCATCACAACATGAGACTGTATTTAAGGGTCACCACAACATGAGACTGTATTTAAGGGTCACCACAACATGAGAATGTATTTAAGGGTCACCACAACATGAGACTGTATTTAAGGGTCACCACAACATGAGAATGTATTTAAGGGTCACCACAACATGAGACTGTATTTAAGGGTCACCACAACATGAGACTGTATTTAAGGGTCACCACAACATGAGAATGTATTTAAGGATCACCACAACATGAGACTGTATTTAAGGGTCACCACAACATGAGACTTATTTAAGGGTCACCACAACATGAGAATGTATTTAAGGGTCATCACAACATTAGAATGTATTTAAGGGTCATCACAACATGAGAATGTATTTAAGGGTCATCACAACATGAGAATGTATTTAAGGGTCATCACAACATGAGAATGTATTTAAGGGTCACCACAACATGAGAATGTATTTAAGGGTCACCACAACATGAGAATGTATTTAAGGGTCATCACAACATGAGAATGTATTTAAGGGTCATCACAACATGAGAATGTATTTAAGGGTCATCACAACATGAGAATGTATTTAAGGGTCACCACAACATGAGAATGTATTTAAGGGTCACCACAACATGAGAATGTATTTAAAGGTCACCACAACATGAGAATGTATTTAAGGGTCACCACAACATGAGAATGTATTTAAGGGTCACCACAACATGAGACTGTATTTAAGGGTCACCACAACATGAGACTGTATTTAAGGGTCACCACAACATGAGACTGTATTTAAGGGTCACCACAACATGAGACTGTATTTAAGGGTCACCACAACATGAGACTGTATTTAAGGGTCACCACAACATGAGACTGTATTTAAGGGTCACCACAACATGAGACTGTATTTAAGGGTCATCACAACATGGGTCCTGGCATTTGGAAGATTGAGAACCACTGTTCTAAATCAACTTGTCCCAAAATGCCAAATCTTTGCTTTCTTTATCCAGTAGTGTTGGTCATAAATACAACTTATGGTTTCAAATTTGTTTGCAACAAAGATGTGATATTTGAAACTGCCAACCTCTTCCTAGCAAATTTATATAAAGATACACACACGTGTGCACAATCAGACACATACATAATATATGCAGTCACACACATGTGCACAATCAGACACATACATAATATATGCAGTCACACACATGTGCACAATCAGACACATACATAATATATGCAGTCACACACATGTGCACAATCAGACACAAACATAATATATGCAGTCACACACACTTAAACAGACACTTTTATTTCTCTCATTCAAACACACACTTAAATAGACACTTTTATTTCTCTCATTCAAACACACACTTAAACAGACACTTTTATTTCTCTCATTCAAACAGACACTTAAACAGACACTTTTATTTCTCTCATTCAAACACACACTTAAACAGACACTTTTATTTCTCTCATTCAAACACACACTTAAACAGACACTTTTATTTCTCTCATTTAAACACACACTCAAACAGACACTTTTATTTCTCTCATTCAAACACACACTTAAACAGACACTTTTTTTCTTTCTAATTCAAACACACACTTAAACAGACTTTTATTTCTCTCATTCAAACATACACTTAAACAGACACTTTTATTTCTCTCATTCAAACACGCTTAAACAGACACTTTTATTTCTCTCATTCAAACACACACTTAAACAGATACTTTGATTTCTCTCATTCAAACACACACTCAAACAGACACTTTTATTTCTCTCATTCAAACACACACTTAAACAGACACTTTTATTTCTCTCATTCAAACACACACTTAAACAGACACTTTTATTTCTCTCATTCAAACACACACTTAAACGCCTAAATAGACAAATTTTATCATCCGTTTCAGGACATCATTTTCATTTTCTATAGAGATAGACCGACAGACATACAGACACACACCTGAAACTGTGGAGCTTCATGTACTGATCGTGCCACAACTAGTCTCACATGACTGCCTGACTGCCGCAGCACCAGGGCCACCTGCTCCGAGCTCATGCCCCTCACGTTGACATCTCCGATCTGCAGGATGTGGTCTCCACTCCGCAGGTGACCATCCTGTAAACAGACAGTGAAATCCGAACTCATGCAAGACTTTGTACATTTTTTAATGGAATCTGACCTCACACAAGACATTTTCTACTGGCATCTGAAGTTGTGCAAGAAACCCTTTTTTTTTTAAGGAATCTTAACTCATGAAGGTTTTTTCTAATGGAATTTAAGCATATACAGGAGATTTTCTGACATAATTTGAACTCTCCTATGTTAGGGGAATTTTTTTTTGTTAAGACTCTAAAGCAAGATGGTTGTCTAAAGAGATCTGATCTCACACATAACATTTTCTAATGACATAACATTTTCTAATGAGATTTGATCTCACACATAACATTTTCTAATGAGATTTGATCTCACACAAAATGTTTTATAACGGAATCTGAACTTCTCATGCAGGAAATTCTCTTAAGGAATTTTAATTCCTGCAAGATATTTTCTAATGGAATCTTCAATCATACAAGATATTTTCTAATGGAATCTTCAATCATAGAAGATATTTTCTAATGGAATCTTCAATCATACAAGACATTTTCTAATGGAATCTTAAATCATAGAAGATATTTTTTAATGGAATCTTCAATCATACAAGATTTTTTCAAAAAAAATCCTAAATCACCGAAGATATTTTCTAACAGAATCTTAAATCATAGAACATATTTTCTAACGGAATCTTAAATCATACCAAATATTTTCTTACATAAGCTTAAATCTAAATCATACAAGGTATTTTCAAATAAAATCTCAAATCACGCAAGATATTTTCTAACTGAATCTTGAACTCCAGCAAGTCATCCTCTAACGGAATCTTAAACTCAAGTAAGTATTTCTATCTAATAAAATATTAAACTCAAGCAAGTCATCTCTGTAATGGAATCTTTAACTTAAACAAGTCATCCCTCTAATGGAATCTTAAACTCAAACAAATCATCTCTCTAATGGAATCTTACTCAAGCAACTCATCCCTCAAATGGAATCTTAAACTCAAGCAAGTTTTTCTTTCTAATGGAATCTTAAACTCAAGAAATTCTTTTTTTTTTTTTATAATGGAATCTTAAACTCAAGCAAGTCTTCCCTCAATGGAATCTTAAACTCAAGCAATTCATCCCTCTAATGGAATCTTAAACTCAAGCAAGTCTTCCCTCAAATGGAATCTTAAACTCAAGCAAGTCATCTCTCTAATGGAATCTTAAAGTCAAGCAAGTCTTCCCTCTAATGGAATCTTAAACTCTAGCAAGTCTTTCCTCAAATGGAATCTTAAACTCAAGCAAGTCATCTCTCTAATGGAATCTTAAACTCAAGCAAGTCATCCATCTAATGGAATCTTAAACTCAAGCAATTCTGTCTTTCTAATGGAGTCTTAAACTCAAGCAAGTCTTCCCTTAATGGAATCTTAAACTCAAGCAACTTTCAAGCAAGGCAAGTTCCCTCTAATGGAATCTTAAACTCAAGCAATTCTTTCTTTCTAATGGAATCTTAAACTCAAGCAAATCTTCCCTCTAATGGAATCTTAAACTCAAGCAAGTCTTCTTTCAGACTTAAGCAAGTCTTCCCTCTAATGGAATCTAAACAAGTGCAGCTGATTAATATTTGCTCAAGGAACATTTAGAAACATTGTGCACAAAAGCCATGGTCTACATCTGAATGAACATATTCTGATCTCTAGGAATGTATGGTGATCAGTTTGTTTTGTAAGAAATGTGGCGAGGGAAAATTTGGTTTGTGTGGAAATTGTGATCAATTCTGTGGATTCTTTCTCTATGAATTATGCAACCGGAAAACAAGAGTGGCAAGAGAAGCAGTAGAAGTGGGGGAAAAAAAGAAAAAGAGGAAAAAGAAGAAGAACTAATCAAGAGAATACTTCACATTCAGGTGGCTAGGATAAAGAAATGACCCAACAAGAAACTCACCTGATGTGCTATATCTCCAGTTGGGATGGTTAGAGAGATGACACAACAAGACACTCACCTGGTCTGCTATATCTCCAGGTGGGATGGTTAGAGAGATGACACAACAAGACACTCACCTGGTCTGCTATATCTCCAGGTGGGATGGTTAGAGAGATGACACAACAAGACACTGACCTGGTCTGCTATATCTCCAGGTGGGATGGTTAGAGAGATGACACAATAAGGCACTCACCTGATCTGCTATATCTCCAGGTGGGATGGTTAGAGAGATAGCACAACAAGACACTCACCTGGTCTGCTATATCTCCAGGTGGGATTGTTAGAGAGATGACACAATAAGACACTCACCTGGTCTGCTATATCTCCAGGTGGGATGGTTAGAGAGATGACACAACAAGACACTCACCTGGTCTGCCAAATCTCCAGGTGGGATGGTTAGAGAGATGACACAACAAGACACTCACCTGGTCTGTTATATCTCCAGGTGGGATGGTTAGAGAGATGACACAACAAGACACTCACCTGGTCTGTTATATCTCCAGGTGGGATGGTTAGAGAGATAGCACAACAAGACACTCACCTGGTCTGTTATATCTCCAGGTGGGATGGTTAGAGAGATGACACAACAAGACACTCACCTGGTCTGCTATATCTCCAGGTGGGATGGTTAGAGAGATGACACAACAAGACACTCACCTGGTCTGCTATATCTCCAGGTGGGATGGTTAGAGAGATAGCACAACAAGACACTCACCTGGTCTGCTATATCTCCAGGTGGGATTGTTAGAGAGATGACACAATAAGACACTCACCTGGTCTGCTATATCTCCAGGTGGGATGGTTAGAGAGATGACACAACAAGACACTCACCTGGTCTGCCAAATCTCCAGGTGGGATGGTTAGAGAGATGACACAACAAGACACTCACCTGGTCTGTTATATCTCCAGGTGGGATGGTTAGAGAGATAACACAACAAGACACTCACCTGGTCTGTTATATCTCCAGGTGGGATGGTTAGAGAGATGACACAACAAGACACTCACCTGGTCTGTTATATCTCCAGGTGGGATGGTTAGAGAGATAGCACAACAAGACACTCACCTGGTCTGTTATATCTCCAGGTGGGATGGTTAGAGAGATGACACAACAAGACACTCACCTGGTGTGTATATCTCCAGGTGGGATGGTTAGAGAGATGACACAACAAGACACTCACCTAGTCTGCTATATCTCCAGGTGGGATGGTTAGAGAGATGACACAACAAGACACTCACCTAGTCTGCTATATCTCCAGGTGGGATGGTTAGAGAGATGACACAACAAGACACTCACCTGGTCTGCTATATCTCCAGGTGGGATGGTTAGAGAGATGACACAACAAGAAACTCACCTGGTGTGCTATATCTCCAGGTGGGATGGTTAGAGAGATGACACAACAAGGCACTCACCTGGTCTGCTATTCCTCCAGGCAGGATGGTCTTCACAACTACTCCGGTACTCCTGCCCCCAATGATGCCGAAGCCTAAGCCTGTGCCATCGTTGATCAGGTCAATGACCTCCAGCTGTGTCCAGTCTGTGCTCAACTGAAAGCACAAGATTAAAGACATGGTCAGTCTTCTGGCTCTCATTAAAAAAACAGAAACAAAAAACAATCAAGGCAGCCAATAGTTTCTAGTCGTTCTCTGGTCAGAGTACAGCAGTTCATGGTTTGTTAGCTTCTCTGACACACCTGTGGATGTGGGGCCATGTTCTCACAGAGAAACACACCTGTGGATGTGGGCCATGTTCTCATAGAGAAACACACCTGTGGATGTGGGGCCATGTTCTCATAGAGAAACACACCTGTGGATGTGGGGCCATGTTCTCATAGAGAAACACACCTGGGGCCATGTTCTCATAGGAAACACCATGTGGATGTGGGGCGATGTTTCTCATAGAGAAACACACCTGTGGATGTGGGGCATGTTCTCATAGAGAAACACACCTGTGGATGTGGGGCGATGTTCTCATAGAGAAACACACCTGTGGATGTGGGGCGATGTTCTCATAGAGAAACACACCTGTGGATGTGGGGCATGTTCTCATAGAGAAACACACCTGTGGATGTGGGGCGATGTTCTCATAGAGAAACACACCTGTGGATGTGGGGCCATGTTCTCATAGAGAAACACACCTGTGGATGTGGGGCATGTTCTCATAGAGAAACACACCTGTGGATGTGGGCGATGTTCTCATAGAGAAACACACCTGCAAGTGGAGCCAGATGTCATGGAGGTTCTCCTTTCCCAGGAATGCATGCACATAGTTGAGTCTCCAATCCTCACCTTTTTTAAATAATGGACAGCATCAACAGCTATCTGTTCACAGCGGTTGTCTGGCATCCAAATTGTTTCTGACTGGGTCACTAACTGGTGTGTAAAGCTGATATACACAGAGCAGATGAAGAGCAGCCAGTGAATATATATATGCATGTGTGTGTGTGTGTTTGTCTCTGTGTGTGTGTGAGTTCACGTGCTCATACATCATAGAGAATAGATTTTTTAAAAAAACAAGTTTAGTCACTTCAATCATTACCAGTCGTGGAGCCAGCCTTACCGGACGAGCCTCCAATATTGGCCTTGGTCTGTTTCCTGAGCTATCGGAGCGAGAGCAGGAGACATCATGAGTAACGCCGTCGTGGGTCACACTGGCAGCTGGGGATGGATGAGAAGTCACATCCCGACTCCATTGCTGACACTTGCGACCATGGTGAGTGCGGTGGTGGTGATGGTAAAGCAGCTGGTGGTCGTGCCTAGCTTTCATGTAACATGTAGCTGCCACTACAGCCCCACAGATAGCATTCTGGAAAGATCTGTTGTCCGGATCCATCTAGTGCTGCTGACCTGCAGCCTAGAAGTTTGGACCCCAGCAAAGTTATGATCACATAGTGCTGGTAGTGTAGATTGTCCCCTTACTTCTAGAAGCAACTACTGGAACCCTTCGAGGTTCAAACCCTGGCAGAGATGTGATCACATAGTGCTGGTAGTGTAGATTGTCCCCTTACTTCTAGAAGCAACTAATGGAACCCTTCGAGGTTCAAACCCTGGCAGAGTTGTGATCACATAGTGCAGGTAGTGTAGATTGTCCCTTTACTTCTAGCAGCAACTACTGGAAGCCTTCGAGGTTCAAACCCTGGCAGAGATGTGATCACATAGTGCTGGTAGTGTAGATTGTCCCCTTACTTTTAGCAACAACTACTGGAACCCTTCAAGGTTCAAACCCTGGCAGAGATGTGATCACATAGTGCTGGTAGTGTAGATTGTCCCCTTACATTTAGCAACAACTACTGGAACCCTTCAAGGTTCAAATTCTGGCAGAGATGTGATCACATAGTGCTGGTAGTGTAGATTGTCCCCTTACTTTTAGCAACAACTACTGGAACCCTTCAAGGTTCAAACCCTGGCAGAGATGTGATCACATAGTGCTGGTAGTGTAGATTGTCCCCTTACTTTTAGCAACAACTACTGGAACCCTTCAAGGTTCAAACCCTGGCAGAGATGTGATCACATAGTGCTGGTAGTGTAGATTGTCCCTTTACTTCTAGCAGAAACTACTGGAACCCTTCAAGGTTCAAACCCTGGCAGAGATGTGATCACATAGTGCTGGTAGTGTAGATTGTCCCATAAATTCTAGCAGCAACTACTGGAACCCTTCAAGGTTCAAACCCTGGCAGAGATGTGATCACATAGTGCTGGTAGTGTAGATTGTCCCTTACTTCTAGCAGCAATTACTGGAACCCTTCGAGGTTCAAACCCTGGCAGAGATGTGATCACATGGCACTGGTAGTGCAGACAGCCCGTTGACTTGTAACAATAGCTATCGCTTAGGTGAAAGAGGTAGCACAGTGAACTGCAGTTGCAGGCGTTAGTGTTTGAATCACATCTAGCTTCTGGTTACATGGGGTAATTCTGTAAATGTGTATCTGTGTATGTTTGCACCTGCACATCTGCGTGAGAGCTGGCAACAATAAACGCAGTACCTGGCAGCACTCTTCTATCTCAGAGACACAAGCAGTGACAGACCCACGTCAGCACAGACCACACTATCAGCATTTGACAGTGATATCGTCAACATGACCCAACAGCCTTTACCGTCCGAGAGTGTAACAAGACAGACAAATACATGAGGCAGACGCAGGAGACAGACAGAGAGTGAGTGAGAATGAGCGAATGAAGCAACAAATAAACTTTATTTTCAATGGGTCACAAATTGGACATGCAGGCATGTCTTACATTCAGCCCTTCCAAACACCCATCTTTCACATAGTAGTTGTCTTTGATCAATAAAGCATGTTACAAGTATGTTCATATAATCTTCTTCTTCTTCTTCACGTTCACCAGATGTAAGCTCCGACAGAAAGCTCTGGCTGTAAGCTCCGACAGAAAGTTCTGGCTGTAAGCTCCGACAGAAAGTTCTGGCTGTAAGCTCCGACAGAAAGTTCTGGCTGTAAGCTCCGACAGAAAGTTCTGGCTGTAAGCTCCGACTTGCTTCTGACTGTAAGCTCTGACAGAAAGTTCTTGCTGTAAGCTCCGACATAAAGTTCTGGCTGTAAGCTCCGACAGAAAGTTCTGACTGTAAGCTCTGACAGAAAGTTCTTGCTGTAAGCTCCGACATAAAGTTCTGGCTGTAAGCTCCGACAGAAAGTTCTGGCTGTAAGCTCCGACAGAAAGTTCTGGCTGTAAGCTCCGACAGAAAGTTCTGGCTGTAAGCTCCGACAGAAAGTTTTGGCTGTAAGTTCCGACAGAAAGTTCTGGCTGTAAGCTCCGACAGAAAGTTCTGGCTGTAAGCTCCGACAGAAAGTTCTGGTTGTAAGCTCCGACAGAAAGTTCTGACTGTAAGCTCCGACAGAAAGTTCTGGCTGTAAGCTCCGACAGAAAGTTCTGGCTGTAAGCTCCGACAGAAAGTTCTGGCTGTAAGCTCCGACAGAAAGTTCTGGTTGTAAGCTCCGACAGAAAGTTCTGGCTGTAAGCTCCGACAGAAAGTTCTGGTTGTAAGCTCCGACAGAAAGTTCTGGCTGTAAGCTCCGACAGAAAGTTCTGGCTGTAAGCTCCGACAGAAAGTTCTGGCTGTAAGCTCCGACAGAAAGTTCTAGCTGTAAGCTCCGACAGAAAGTTCTGGTTGTTCGTTCCCATCTAAACTCTAGTCCTGTTCCAGAACTTGAACTTTGCGTGTACATCCGTTTCACAGGAATGACTCATCTGCAAACAGATTGTTGGTTCCTTGCTTCTCAGGCTGATGTACTTCGACTTCAAAAGAAGCTCCCAATTAGTCCACTCTTATGACATGCTTTTGGGCAGGCAGTGGGTCTACTATTGATAGTCTCTGTAGGTAGTGTGCCCTCCCTGACAGGCAAGTCTATGAGGTAGTGTGCCCTCCCTGACAGGCAAGTCTATGAGGTAGTGTGCCCTCCCTGACAGGCAAGTCTATGAGATAGTGTGCCCTCCCTGACAGGCAAGTCTAAGAGGTAGTGTGCCCTCCCTGACAGGCAAGTCTATGAGGTAGTGTGCCCTCCCTGACAGGCAAGACTATGAGGTAGTGTGCCCTCCCTGACAGGCAAGTCTATGAGGTAGTGTGCCCTCCCTGACAGGCAAGTCTATGAGGTAGTGTGCCCTCCCTGACAGGCAAGACTATGAGGTAGTGTGCCCTCCCTGACAGGCAAGTCTATGAGGTAGTGTGCCCTCCCTGACAGGCAAGTCTATGTATGAGGTAGTGTGCCCTCCCTGACAGGCAAGAAGATTGTCAATCTCTCAGGTACAGTGCCCCCCCCCGCCCCCCCCCCCCCCCCCCCCCCGCATCCTACATGAATCACTTGAAAACTGAAGGGAACAACTCACTTTTCCGGGCTGTGGCCCTGCCCATACACACACTTCTAAATGACGTGGGTGGGACAATACACTGTGATTTGACAGTTAGTCTCCACCTTAAGCTGTCAGATAATCAAATGTAAGTGACAAGGGTGTCAGTTGTTTCTTTTGTGTATATGCTGGAGTGTGGACAGGTACATAGTGGCTCTTCTGAGGGACTTAATATAGTATTAGTGTTTGTTGGCAAGTACATGACAGCCCTCTAGGGTTTCTAGGAAATGAGTTTATTGTAGCGACAGACCCTTGTGTGGGGGGGGGGGGGGGGGGGGGGGGGGGGGAACAGCTAAATGTTAAGTGTGAAACCACGGTACATAGGTTCAGTTTGTCACAAATCAGGTTTGGGTTAGGCCTAGTGGCAGATTTTCTGGGATCGTTAAAATCACTAACTTCTGTAAAATAGAGGTTGCGTCACGGGAGAGTCAGTTCTTAATGTCCTGAGGTTATAAATGTGTGTCATAAAATGATGCCCATTGGACACAGCCACGGCAAAAACCCTCTTTACTCCACTCTGACAACATGCATGGTAGTCATGTTTCTATCCGGTGCTTTCCTTATGCCACGACCACACAAGCAACCATGCAGCATACCAGTAATGTCTTTGGCCGCTCATGACTGAACACCCTGAGCCCTATAGAGGGATAAAATATATCAAGTGATCCGCCAATCTCAGTCGTAGGCAC